TTTTAAAATATATATATAAAAAATTAAAAAAATGAGAAGAATTTAAAATATACCTTAGAAATCCATACATGTGTTCCTTGTGCACAAGGTAATTGTTCTAAAAATGCAGAGAAATCTGTTGTCTTTTTTTGGCAGCAAGACCAGTATTTCATTCCTTCATGGAAGATAGGTACACCAGGATGATGATTACACACTTCATTATCAGATTCAGGTCCATTATATCTAGCATTGCATGAATTGTTTCTACAATTTTGTCCAATTTTAACTTTAGTTTCAGATGCACTTTTTAATGTAGAAGAAGTTAATCCTTTAATTTGTTCTAATAATGTAGGTGACACAGTAGGTGTTAAAGTAATTTGTGGAGTGTTAAAAGGAGGCCTTTCTAAGGCAGGTCCATTATTAAGGGATTGAGCAATTACTTCCACTGTTTCACTAGACTTTGATTTATCAACTGCAGGTTTTTCTGGTTCTGGTGGCTTTACATTTGAATGACATGATTTTGTACAACCTTTGATATTTAAAAATTCTGTAAAATCTGTACACTTTTTATTACAACAAGACCAGCCTTTATAAGCATCATGAAATATTGGGTAACCAGGATGATGAATACAATCCCCTGCAAAGACAATTAAAAAAATAACTATAAAACATGTTGCACAATGACATTTCTAACTACTAGAAGTAAACAATAAAAACTTTTTGTCCTTGATATCATTACATTTTCATTCATTAAATTTCTCAGAAGGAAGGTAAACAACATACCTTCTTTATTATCGTTCGGATGAAACATTTTCCCACATCCACGATTATAACAATGCAATAAAGTTGCCTCTTGCGACATTTCTAACTTCGTTTTAACTATTTTATTTCAACTACGCACGTCGTACACAAATTCAGTTTGTAAACCAAACGAACTTCAGCAGTGTTTGTGAATGACTAGTACGCACTGATTGCAACCTCCCTGTTTTTACGATTCCGAAAAACTTCTAGCACATTCTAGAGAATCTAAACATAATTTCTAAATGTGACATTAATAAAAAAATATGAATCGTTTATAGCATAAATATTGTCACGAAAAATGTAATAATAAGACAATTTTATCGATATTTACAAAAGTTATTACAAAAATTTTAACGTGTTTTTTGTGAAGTATTGCAATTCTAATTCTAATGTAAACTCCACCTTATAACCAGTTTCTTATCGCTTAAAATTGTAACAAACATATTAAACCTAATAATTTTTACTTTTTCTAAACAAACTATTAATGATTTTGCGTATATATAGTATCATAATTATTATACAACTTCTTAAATAGTCATTTAAAAGTTATCAAATTTAAAAGTGATAATAAAAAAATTATTCATATTCACAATATTTATATTTATTTATTTATA